TATCTTAGTATTTGGGCCCTAAAACCCTATTATTTGGGTCCTTGGACCCTTAGGGAAAAGCTTCGGTCTAACGATGTTCTGCGTAGTTACCACGACCGCCATCTGAAGTCGTGATTTCGGTTTTGGCTGGTACCTTTTGCCAAAGTGATTGCAGTTGAGTTTTTTGACATGATCTGTGGTGTTGGGGGCCGCAAGCCTTTTTGATGACCACTTTTAAGCCGATGTTCGGCTAAGCGTTTAGGGTTTAGGGTAGAGCAGACTCCACGTACATGTACGTTTAAAGGCGTAGCTTGTTTTCCGACTATCGAGGTTCATGATGAAGCTCACTGAGGATTTTGCCCCCTCCACCCCCCCACCCTTGAACGTACGCATACCCTCAAATCCCCATACCCACACACACCCATACACAGCGCTAAAATGCTGACCAGTGGACCTCGCAGGGTAGCCTCAGACTTGCTACTTGTCAGTAGGGAATGGAGAAATCAACTATCATGTGAGCTATAGTCTAAACTCCTTAAAGGGGGGTTATATAGGGGATTAATATATGGGACTACTATAGGGGTTATTAAGGGGGATACTAGGAGTTTAGACTATAGCTCATGTAGACCCCTGATTAAAAAGGCGCCTCTTCTTAAGGGCCTTAATATTAGGATCCTTATTATCATCCCCCTGAAAGGGGAGGGGGCTTATTTAATCAGGCGTCTACATTCGGGGCTTCGGGTTGGGGGTTTACATGTAGGGTGTAGGGTGTAAGGTTCAGAGAGTGGATAAGAGCATGGAGAAATCATGGAGGGTTATATTGATCGTGTTCATCTGCCATTAATAGAGGGGTTGGCAATAACATATTCCCGCTGGCCAACAAATTCGGAAGACTACTTTTGTTTTTTTTCAAATTCGGAGCTTCAAACCCAGTGCGCAAGTTCAATGGGCAATATGGATGTCATGGCCAGGTTTCCGCTTCACGCCGAAAAATGTACGGGTTTTAGCAGAACTCTACTACTGATGCTACCGCCGCCGCCACCACCACCACCGCCACGGCCACGGCCACGACCACGACGACTACTATTCCTAACTACGAACTACTAACTCCTAATTACTAACTACTCACTACGAACTATTAACTACTACTGTTACTGCTACCTGTGCTAGTTCGTCCAACCGTTGTCCAACCCCCTGGCTGCAGGCTTGTTTTTGTGACCCCCCTCCGTACGCCAAAATCACAAAGCAGTTTCTTCTGTGGTGTTTTATGGCGAGGTTAACATTAATTAGGGACTGTAGGGTTCAATCTGTCCATTTCCTGCCCCAAAACCACAAGCCTCGTCTAGTACCCAGACCCAAACCCTGTAGTAGCTTCCATTTCCTTTTCCATTCTTCGATTGCCCACCAATAACCTGTAAGGAGAAGGAGTATGCGCCAACTAATCTCAGTTTTGGCTTGTTTTCCCGCAACTTTGCAGAGAACATGTAGTGGCTATATGAGGGTACTCAGTGTCAAGAGGTTTTTAGAGCACAGAACTGAGCGGAAAATGAATTCCAAACTGGGTTTGAATGGGGTTTCTAAGTCATTGTTGTGTACTGGCTGTGGTATTTGTCATACTGGAGCTCAATAAAAAATTGACAGTAGTAGGGGAATCCTTCGCTCAATAGAACCAGATACAGGTGTCACACCTTTAGCTTGATACGGCGGCCGACATATGATGATTATTCTTATTTTGTTATTGCAATCCTAAATTTCTGCCCTAAATCCTAAACCCTTAATCCTATACTTCTAGCTTTGGACACATGAGGCAGAGGTTTATGCCCCGATCCTACAAACCCCATAGACCCCTATCTAACCCGGTTTTGGAAACAATTTTCCATTGTTCTGTTCCACCAGATTCTCCATGATCAGGAGTATACAACCCTGAACGCTAAACCGAGACCCTAAAGCCTTCTTCCCTTAAATCCTACGTATTGCCTCCTAAAGCCCTTAAGCCTATATAACCTCATTATAGTAGTTTCCATATTCTTTGCCAACCTTATATAACCTCTTCAAAGGGACCTAGGGTTTCCACACATTCCCATGATAGAGTCTCTCCATCTGACAGCCATTCAGTGGATGCACTCTCAACCCCCAAAGCCACCGCATGTTAAGGTTAGACGCGTTTAGGGTTTAGGATTTAGGGGTAAGGATTTAGGGGTCAGGGTTTAAAGTTGAGTTTTTAGGGTTTAGGATTTCGGGGTTAGGCTTTATAGGGGTTGGAGGGTTTTTCGATGTGGAAGCCCGAAGGATCCTATTGATGTTACAAAGAGATTCAAAGGGTGGCTTTGATGGTTTCTACGTACAGGGGTAATTCTGAGAAGCACCCATGACCTCAAAACTCTTGCACGTGCGCTCCAAGGGTGGTAGTGGAAATCTGATTGGACATAATTGATGAATGGATCGTGCGGAGCTCAGATGAGAATTCGCAATTTTCTAAGCCAACTTCAGGGAAAATGCGTTGCCATGCAGTGTCCTTAGGTAAGCTTTACATGAGCTACTGTGGATACTAGATTTATTAAAGGACCCTGAACATTGGACGTAGCGGTCCTTCTTGTCATTTAGTGTAGTCCCTAATATGGTAGTTTCCCAAAATAACGGGACCCAAATATAGACCCCAAAATACTATAGTCCTTATTATAGAGAACCCCAAAAAAGTACCCCTAATTTTGGGAAACCCCCATATAGACTTCACAATCCTTCTGTACATCTGACTTGAACTGCCCCCCACGACAAAATGGTCTTCCTGAAATTGCCGCCTCCGTTAATCCGTTAATGTGTAAGTAGGTGGAAAAGGCTGCTGCTGCAAGAGGTTCCCAAACCTCTGAAATCCTTGCAGAGAATTTCTGGGCGGGTTCAGGTAGCAATAAGCCTGCCAACATCCGAAAGCCTAAGCCCTAAAGTACTCGCAGCCTGCGGGGTTCCAAAGAGCTAGCCCAGGGGTTTATACAGTTTTTTTTTTGTTTTTTTAGTTTAGGGTTTGGGGTTGAGGGTTTAGGGTTTGGGGTGTAGGGTTGGGACAGTAGCAGAAATACCCGAAAGCTTCAACCCTAAACCCTGAAGCATTCGCGGAG